CCACCCGTATCAGACTAAAAGCACCATAGTCTTCATATTTACACTCCGTTACGTTGTGGATATATTATGGAAAGAATTCCAATTCAACCGTTTAAGGAAGTTGTTGGAGTTGAAGTTGTTGCAGTGGCCGATTACCAATCGAAACTCATAGTCTCCTTTTCAACCCGTATCAGACTAAAAGCACCATAGTCTTCATATTTACACTCCGTTACGTTGTGGATATATTATGGAGAGAATTGCAATTCAAGCGTTTAGGGAAGTTGTTGGAGTTGAAGTTGTTGCAGTGGCCGATTACCAATCGAAACTCATACTCTCCTTTTCAACCCGTATCAAACTAAAAGCACCATATAGTCTTCATATTTACACTCCGTTACGTTGTGGATATATTATGGAGAGAAATGCAATTCAACCGTTTAGGGAAGTTATTGGAGTTGGAGTTGTTCGAGTGGCCGATTACCAATCGAATCTCATAGACTGCTTTCCCACCCGTATCAGACTAAAAGCACCATAGTCTTGATATTTACACTCCGTTACGTTGTGGATATATTATGGAGAGAATTCCAATTCAACCGTTTAAGGAAGTTGTTAGATTGACCGATTACCAATCGAAACTCATAGACTGCTTTCCCACCCGTATCAGACTAAAAGCACCATAGTCTTGATATTTACACTCCGATACGTTGTGGATATATTAAAGAGAAAATTCCAGTTCAACCGCTTAGGACAGTTGTTAAAGTGGCCGATTACCAATCGAAACTCATAGTCTGCTTTCCCACACGTAACAGACAAAACGCACCATAGTCTTCATATTTACATTCCGATACGTTGGGGATATATTATGGAGAAAATTCCAATTCAACCGCTTAGGACAATTATTAGAGTGGCTGATTACCACTCGAAATTCGCAGGCTGCTTTCTGCTAATCAAAACTCGTAGGTTCATATCTCCCCCGTATCATATTAAGAAAAGTCGTAGTCTCAAGCTTTGTACTCTGATACGTAGATATTGTGGTTCAACATCGTACAGCAGTTGCAGAAGCTGGACGAGTGGTTGGTATTTAAAGTATCAAGAACTTTTTTACAATTTTCGATTCCCATAATTGGAATCTTTTAATCCTAACGTAATTTTTTGCTAAACACAGTCACCTCGTATTATAGGTTGATGTGTGTAGCCATATTTAATTGAAGTATAGGTACATATACCCATTAGTGAAATGTGTCGTAAAGTTGCAAACTACGGTATTTTTCTCATATAATTGTGCTACAAAAGCGTCGTTTTGCCGGACGAGGACGGTGTGTTTTGAATTACTTTGGAAAACACCGTCATATGTATATGTGTATAAATATATATCTGTGTGTGTATGTATGTGTAGTCGTTCTAATTCAGTAGAAAACGGTCCTCTTTCATCGCGACACACGTCGACAACTTCATGCATGCATTCATTTCTTCGGAATTGGAGACAGAATCACACGTCTTTTTAAAAGCATTTTACAAGCCAACGGGGAAATCACCGTCAAATCCTGGGCTCGTGCCATACTGCTGCAAACCATTTAGACCCGATCCCGCGACATTTTCAAAGGGAAATACAAACGCACATACATACATACCAACACACATTTATGTGTGTTCATCTATTCATCTCACTCTCGTGCGAAAAAGTGATTGCATGTTTAACTCTCTTTGAAAGAAACGTTATATAGAAAATGACGTGTAATCAAACAAACATGTAGTTAATTCACTTTTCCAAATCTCAGCGAATTAGGCTATAACAAGTAACGTCACCTTATTTTTATACTTCAAATGTCGAACAATCTGTGCAAGAAAGCCTATAGTGACTTATGGTTTCGAAAACATGATTAATACCAAAAGGCTTCATAATTTATGTCATGCCATAATCGTAATTTTATGATGGATTTACGTGGTCTATCATACAGGCAGTTTTCAACCGACAATATGAGTAGGAAGTCAACAGATGGCGTGTATTGCGTCGTCTGTGGTTACTTATTAATCCTTCAGAAACTAAGCACATAGGTGTATACTTATAGTTAAATGGTCTTACCTGTGATTGCACTGCTGACAAGCGAAACACTCTAAATGGTATACGTTGCTCCTGGCACGCATGACCATCTCAAAGGCGGGTATTACTTTACTACAAGCGGCGCAATAGCCTGTGTTGCCGAATAGCCTCAAGTAATCTCGTTTGCAAAGAATTAGATTAGCTTTGGTGTAAAGTGTGGAACCGACCTCGCCAAGTCGACAATCGCAACAGCCGCACTTAAGACAGTCTTCGTGCCAAAAAAGATCGAGTGCTTTGAGGAGGTAGCGTTCGGTAATGGGCTTGCAGCAACCGGCGCATTCTTGGGGACCGGGGTTACCGCCACCTCCTCCTCCGCCGCCACCACCTCCGCTGCTGTTCGGCCCGGATTTCGCCGAACCCTCTTTTGAAACGTCCATTGTCATCATTGACTCGTTGATGGGCTTTATTTTGATCTGAAACAATGAAAACAAAAATTGATTGTATGTATATTTTTCAATTAATAATCATGTTTAAATGTTACAAATTCTAGTCAAAAACTGTGTCTTGGAAACACCATGTTGTTGACTCATTTCGTCTAACTAGAGCTTCTTAGGAATCGTAGGTGGTTAAAGTGCGAAGGGGAGGTAGAGCGAAATGAACACAAAAGAGATTGTCCCAATATTTGCCTAACTGATCCAAGAAAACAATAGAAAAATTTGGATCAGTACAAACGGGCGCGGAATCAAATGGTTGCCCCCTCCCCCGGAATGCTAAGCAGTAGTATAAACTTCTACGGTGTACGCTATACCACTTTCATTTAACTTAAGCTACTGCTTTTAAAATCAAGGCAATAATAATACATAAATTCATATTTAAGGTAAGGAGTACAATACAGTACAGACCGAGCGGTATGGCCTAGAGGTTTAGATCATTCTTTAGCATTCGGGAGGACTCCGGTTCGATTCCGGGTCCGTCTGCCCTGGTCCAAGTTTTTCTCTGGTTTCCTTGGATCACTTAGGCAATTGCTGGGGCAGAAATATTCCATAGATAATCTTTCAATATCTTCTGCCTTCATTTCGTCCGTTTCATCTTTCTAACCCGAACCACCCCACGATTCCTGAAAAGAGCCTGAAGAAGGCCTTCCGCCCTACTTTCCGGCGTAGTCCGGAGGGACTGCCCGTCCACCAGCATTAGTAGCTGGTGGGAACGAAACACCCAAAAGTTTTTTTTTATGCAGTACAGTACAGTTTATACAGTGCAATCTGATAAAGGTTGCAACTAGGTCAATTTTGTGAACTTTTGAATGGAATTTTCATAAGGAATTGCCTAACAGTTGTACAATAATTAAATAACAATATCTTTAGAAATTATACTTGTCTTTACATGCCAATGTATACGAGTATGTTAAGAATTCGTGGAAAGGAAATAAATATGAACAAAATTGCAGAACCTTTTCTATTTATTCCACAATAATAATTCGAGTTGGTTTGTTTTTTGTTTAGGGAAAGGATCATATTAAATTGCGTATTTCGGTTACGTATTTTTTGTGCTTTGGCAACATTATTAGTATGCGAGTTTGTGTTTTGTTTGCTCCGTGTTCCCGATTCCTTTAGTCCAGAAACATTCACTCGCCGGACGGATTGTTATTATTATTATCATTATATTCCTGCGTCCGTCCGCTGCTGTTGAATTTAAAATCGCGCAATCTGTCCCTGGGATTTTTCTTATTCCACGAAAAATATTAATATTAGAAGAACAGGAACGCTGGAGCCCGTGCGATGCAGGAGTCGACATAAGGGTAGCTCGTCGTTCCCCGAGACAACAAGGCAAAGGAGAGAGTGGTAGGGGTTGGGGGAGCGCTCGGGTAGACACTACCGTTGACCGTATGTAGCGGTAGTCAAGTCTACCCTCAATTTCACCGTTCGGACTCGCTCCTGGTGACGTTTTTATTAAACTACGAGGTATGTTACTACCCGACTAGCTATATTTTATTATTGCCTTACATTATTTATCCACGTGCTACTGCCGGACTTTCTTTTTGATATCACGATGCCGATACTCGACGAGACGAAATAAAATTTGGATAAAACTTCAATCAAATGCATGAAAAGAAAGAAAAAGGACTTTGTCCCCATGGATTTCGCCGAAACGATTTCAATGAAACTGTCAATAAAGATAAAACTGTACAAAATTTGAAGCTAACTAGGAGAATCATTTGGATTCAACCCTTGGCCCCAATGGTGGTATTCTATCTGAACCCTTTCACGTCATGCTTCATGCAGACTAGTTTAGCCCAAACATTTCTGATCCAGCCTAGATGAGATAACTTGATCAGGGGCAAATAATATAACCTAATCAATACCACACAGTATAACCCTATTCGGGTTAAGTCTAGTTCCTAGATCAGTGGCGGATTATCCATACGGCAAAGTGGGTATATGCCTAGAGGCGCAAGGTTAAAAAGGGGCGCGCGCGGAAATGTTTAAACCAAAAAAAAAATAAAGAAGTACCTTATAAAAAAAAAGTATTTTGCAAAATATATGACCGCCAGAGGGGCGTCTGTGAGGTGCTAGCCTACAGCGCTCTCGACATTTAATCCGCCTCTGAGCTTCAATGTACGAAGGCGTTACATTTTTGATCGCGACCCAATCAAAATTATATTACGGGGATCAGATGTGACAGATAAAGTCTAGATCGCAGCCCGAGCTGTTTCTAGTTTCCAATTGGATTGTTTATGCGTTTACCAAAATTTGAAATCTACGAAAGTAGCAAAAAATGTTCTTGTCCTGAGGTGTTTAAGCAAAACCTTTTAATTTTGTGATCAGTGGGAAATCCTCTCAAGCCAAGAAAGCCTCCTCCCTTTTCAAATAGTTTTACTTTTAAGAATTTAAGAAGATTGTTAGAAATACATACCTACAATGGTAAAAATTACAAATTTACAAAAAAATTATACATATCATCTTTAAATTCTCTCATTAAAAAGTTAGAGCATTCAAGATTATTTGTATAAATTGCGAGCAAACACCTAGAACACGATTAGTAAGTCAATTAGCGATCGTTTTAGTAGTGCTATTAATAATAATAAAGGCATTAAGATGCAGAATTAGATTGAAGAATCGTTAGATGGGAATCAGTAGCGAGACAGGGTGGTCAGACGGCTGGCCGTCTTCTTTCGCCTTGTTGTTTTGCCTGCCATTTTCTACCTTTTTTACATACGTAAAAGCGAATATGTAAAGAGGCGATTTATTTAAACATTTTTCGTTTCGCTAAATTATTTTATATAAATTGAACATATTTTAAAGTCAATCGACTTATAGATATGTAACTGTGCGTGGGTCTAGGACAAAAATCTCAATGAATGTTTGTAGGTTTTCATAATATTTCGAGTAGGTGTTTATTAAGAAACAATTTTTAAGGACATTACTACAATGAGTAAAATATTTACAGGACAACCATCTAAATTTCACTTTGTTTTTTCCGCAAAGCTTTCTAGTTATTCTGCGTTTATAAATGTTGGGAATTGAAAACAAAAAAAAAATAATAAAGCGTAACAATGGCAAGTTTTCGTGAAGTTCATTACGGAACGGAACAGTAACAAACAATAATAACGGGGGAGAATTAAGTGGCAGAAAAAGTGCGGCCGTGGGTCCGCCCGCGCGCACACTGCTCTCTTTCTCTCTCTATCTCTCTATAACGAAGAATTTTTAATTTTTAAGGTAGTTAAATGGAATTGGTCGTAATTTTAATTAAAACTTGAAAAGTGGCCTTTGTTTTAGTAGCTAAAACAAATAAAGCTGAAGGGCGATGTTTTGCAGACGTAATTAGAAGGAAATTAAACTGTTATTGAATGGACGGTGAACGAATGAACTAACCCTCGACTCTCCCCCAACCCGTCGCCTTTACGTCATCCACTCGCCCTCTCCTAACTACTGCATTACTTTTTCTTTCTAATCCGCCAACCAAAGACAGACAATTTCCTCATTTCCATTGTACCATTGTCAACCATACCGTCTCATACCTTTTGTCATCTTTCCTTTCTGAATTTTTCGTAAACAAATCTAAAATTTTAACGGTTGTAGTCCGCGATTATTTACCAATTTTAATTCAGTTATTAAGAAAAATGAAGCTATTGCAACGTTTAATCTCTTAGTTTAACAAGTAGATTGCTTTGTATGTTCCTCTTAAACACCATGAAACACTTTATCAGTAAATATCAATGGATGACGATCTACAGAAATAATATCATCATCCATAACATCCATAAGAACGAGTTAGAGATAGCTTTAAACAAAATGGAAGCGATATTGATGAAACAGTATTGTATTGAAATAAATAAAAGTAAAAGAAAAACACCGGTATGCAAGGGAAGAAAAAGTAGAGAAAGAATATAATGATAGGAAACAAAAATTTGAAGATGTGACCGATTTTAGGTATCTAGGAAGTCAGATAAGTCAGGACGGAAGGAACAGTAGGGATATAAAGCAGAGGATAGCGCAGGGTCGAGTACCGAGCGGCATGGCTCAGAGGTTTAGATCATTGCTTAGCATTTGGGAGGACGCCGGTTCGATTCCGGGTGCATCTGCCTTGGTCCAAGTTCATTCTCTTCTGTCTTCATTTCGTCCGTCTCATCTTTCTCACCCGAACCACCACCCACCCATTTCCACGATTCCTGAAAGGAGGCTGAAGAGGGTCATCCGCCCTAGCTTCCGGCGTAGTTCGGAGGGACTGCCCGCCCACTAGCATTACTGGCTGTGGGATTGAAACACCCAAAAGTTTTTTTTTAGGTCGAGTCGCCTTTAATAAAAAGAAGTCACTTCTATGCTCGCGAACGGTTAATTTAGAAATTCCAAAAAGATTGTTAAAGGAGTATGTTTGGAGCACGGCGCTGTACTGGTCCGAAACATGGACAGAAAAGGTTAGAAGCGTTCGAAATGTTGTGTTTCAGGCGATGAAGATACCGTAGATACAGAAGGTTAGATAGGTTGGTGGACACCTTCTCAGGCATGAAGGTCTAGTCAGAGACATATTAGAAGCAGATACGGGGATTAGGAGGGGTAGAGGTAGACCTAGATTAAATTACTGTTGTTCTAGTTTTTGGGTAATGCGAAGATTAGCTAAGGATAGGAAAGAGTGTAGGTGCGTTTCCAACCAGTCTTGGGACTGACGACCTTATGATGATGATCCATAACAGTAACATTGGATGGTGTTTGACAAAGCTTTCTGACAAAGCTTTGCAGAGGTATTTACTTACATTAAGTCTGATCGACGCTATGTAGTAGATTCAGTTTAACAATGAAGACCTTTGTAAGGTTGTGTATACAGTTAAATAATGTCATCCTCTGCAGATATTTATTGATAACAGTAGAATTTCATGGTGTTTGAAAAGATCTTAGGAAGATATTTACTTGTCAAACTTCGTTTACTAATAAAAGCTGCGTCGGAGATTCAGTTAAACAATGATGAACTTTATAGG